TATATTCCCTACTTCTGTCTGAGGAAAGCCTGGATGAGCAACATCCGCGTATCATTAACATACCTGGCACAAGGAAAGAAGCAAATTAGCCTGGAACATCTGGTAGCACCACGAGGCAAGAATGATTTTTAAAAGGATGATAGGGACACAACAGGTGATCACAGGCCCAGTGCAAAGTGGCTCCAACTGGCCAGATCTGGGTTAATTCGAGCACCAAAATAGATAGTAGAGAGTAAGAAATTATAACCTAGTAAAGCAAGCAACTGTGAGCCCAGAGGGATCCAGATATATTAAAAAGATAAATATAGATACATTGAAAGTTTGATAAGAAAAAGAATCTAATTTCCAAATACCACCAAAAACCCTTCTGAAGCCTGGTATATACCACCTTAACTGAGTGAACACTGCCAGTACTGGAAAAAAAAAGGAAATCATAGCATATAATCACTTCCAGAAATAACCTTAATCTAATCATGAGGAAATGTCAGGCAAACCCAACTGAAGGACATGCTATAACATAATTGAATTGTAATCTCTGAAAGTATCAAGGTCGTGAAAGTCATGAAAAGCTGAAGGACAGCTTAGAAAAGGAGACCAGAGTCAAGGCTGCGGGTACTCCCCAGGCTCCCGTTCTGAATTCTCTTCCTGTAGAATTCGATATCGGCTCTACTGCTCATACTGGAGTGGGTCTGAGGGTTAGGTGGCAGTGATATATCCAGGTTAATGTCCTGATTTTGATGTTCACTTTATGGCTATATAGGATGCTGGGTTTGTTTGTTTTTTATAGAAAAAATAACTGTACATTAGCTTAGCAATTATTCCCAAATACTTCAAGAAAAAGTTTACTTACATTGCACTACCAGCTTTTCTGTAAGTTTATGATTAGTGCAAAATAAAAAAAAACTAACTTGACTGTTATCAGGATAATTGTTACCAGAATAATTCTAGAAGCCTCATCAAGCCCCCTCCCTGGGTAAGGAACTGTCATTTCCAGTTGCACTGTTTCCTCCTGCAGACTCTAAGCCACAACATGGGTGGACTTGGTTTATGACACTGGATTATCAGAAGATGTGGGGTTTAAAACTGGACTGATTTCCCTTTCTGCCTCAAAGCCCTGAAGAAAGTTGCTGTACTTACTAGCTTTATGCTCTATGAAGTTAATTCTCCAAAACTGGCTGAAAATAAACCATAGCGCACTAACAGGAGAAGCACGATGAAATATTTTACTTCTACCTTTTCTCCTTCACAGGAAACTTCCATTAGCTGACCTCAGAGGAAAATTCACTGAAACTGAACTTTTTTTCCCCTGTGCAATCATATGATTTTATTTCCTAGGGAAACTGATAACAAGGCATATGTATCTATTACAGAAAGATTTTCATTAAAAATGCACATGCTGGTGTTATGAAATCTGTGAGTTCTATGGAGAGTAGCTCTGTGAAAAGAAATACTTGACAGATACTTTTGTGCGTGACAGGTTTTTAATGTCCAACTCCCATGTGTTCTGTAAGTAGCTTTTTTTTCAAATTTCTCAGCACCAGAGAGAATCTCCAAAGCCATTCACTAGCAGCTTGCCAGCCAGCCCCCACCTTCAGCTCAGCCTGAAAGCTGCCTTCCCTGTGGCTGACCCTGGGCCCAGCACAGAAGTTCTATTGTCACCGAGTCTCTCAGGCACGATTCCTGGAGTAACTCACTCTGGCACAAGAAGGTCTCCAATAAAAACTAAATAAATGACCATCTCCAAAGCAGTGCGTTTGTGAGCTCTTTTGAAGGTCTGGAGGACAATTAATTTGATAACAAGGAAGTAACGTGCTGTAAGATGTCCTGCTCCAATTCAGAGGAATCTGCTACCTTATGACGTGTCAGTAGTGTGGGGGAGGGAAGAGACGTGCTGTCCTTCAGCCACTGAATCACAGAACCTTTTTTCTTTGAAAACATTTTGCACCAAAAATATGGTGTGGGTGACCTTAACAGGAAGACATGTCTGCTTACACAGAACTTTCCACTGTCTGCATTTTTCACCTGTTTGTGGCTGTGAATTTTCCTCCCAGCGGTTGTCTTCCCCTCCACTTGGCTTTGCTAATTAGGGCTAGGAAATATTTTCTGATTATGGGGCTCCACAGTGGCCTCTTCCCTCCCTCCAGTTTCCTGCCAGTGGCTATCTCTTTGGTGCCTTTGTTCTCAGCAAAAAAATCACCCCTGCAAGCATTGATCAGAAGTCTCTGAATATGCACTGACTCATTAGCTCCTTAGAGATCTTCTTCGTTAAGTAGCTTCCTTTTAAACTTCAATTGTGGCTTATTTTTCATTTAGCTTCCCATGCATCACAACATACAAAAGGAACATGATTTGACCTGAAGTAGAAAGATAATTATATCATAGAAAATTCTTTTGAATGTTGTGCTAAAGAAGAGAATCTTTGAGCCTTGCTCTGTGTCAGCTCTAATAACACAAACCACTTTAGAGAAAGTAGTCACACTTGTTCAAAGGAGAACCCAAGGGTTAATCACCAAAATATCCCCTGTATCTGTTTTCTTAAACCCCTGTTATTTTTTAAAGTAATTTTAATTTTTAAAAGCAATGAAAAAAAAATAAAAGCAATGAGATTTGCAAGTGATTATTTAAAATTTTTATGAAGACTTTCGTTATTGCTCTTCTGTTTAGTTTTTCTCAAAAATATCTTTAATTTAAAGCTTTTTTGTTTTCAAAACTCCACACCTTCTGCAAACTTTGCACCTACCTTCTCTGTCACAGCCTTTTGCCTGAGAAGTACTATCTGCATCTGCGCCCCTCGGGCTGTAGTCTGCTGAAAGAGGGACACCCGCGGCAAACCAGAGCCAGTGAGAGAAATGCCTGCCTTTCCTCGTGCAATCAGAAGCCAGTCGGCGCAGTCGGGGTGAATGTCAACCTGAAGCTTGTGATGTGTCACCTTCCCTCTCAGTACCTCTGTTTCTCCAAGTGCCCATCTAATCTGTGTCCACCCCTGGGAGCGCCTGGTCCAGTTCCCCATCCAGGGCATGCTGCGACAGCATCAAAATCTTGTTACTTAAGAAAAAGCCTGGCATCTACACCAGCTTGGCCAGATGGTCAGCTGAGTCTCAAGAGGGCAAAGAATTTCAGGATTTTATACATTTAAAAAAAAAAAAAAAAGCGCCAGCAATAGCATGAGCGTAGCAGGCACTTGACTGAGACTTGAATTCTTGACGTCCTGGTATCACCTGGCTCTGTGATATTGTCAAGTCACTTAATCTTTCCAGACTTGGTTTCCTGATTTGTAAAATAAGAGATGGGATTAGGATGCCCCAAGTCCCTTTTACTTATAAATGGTTCTAAGATTCTTAACTACAGGAAAAATAAAATAATAGAAACAAGTATATCCCCTTCCCTACCCTGTCACCAAGTTTGCAGGTGGAATATGTGGAGAGAGCCTTAGGAGAAACTCCAATTCTGGTAACCAAGGACACACTGAAATTGTAACAGCAAAAGATTCCCAGTGCGCCTGCTGGGCTAGGGAGACCTCGCGGGCAAGGGGAGAGTGGCGGGGAGGTGGTAGGGATGATAATGGTAGGGAGCGAGTTCTTTTCAGGCCCCCTTGTCCCTTTTCTCGCTCTCCTAGACCCACTCCAGAGCGCTCTCACTGGGTGACATGAAAGCCACAGAGACAGCTTTGTCTTCATGCCACCTAGTATTAACCACAATTTGGAATATCAGCTCCCATTTGAATATTTTTAACCAAAATGAGATCTGAATCCCACAGGAGAATTATTCCTCTCCCCAAAAAAAAGACAAGTCCTGAGCTGGACCAGAAAGAAGACCCCTGGCAGGTTTTGTGCTCTCTGGGATCAGCCACCGCCCCTGCCGCTGTCCAGGGGAAGCCCAGCCCAGTGAGGTCCATCTCCGTCGACCTCAGTGTCACCTTCACGGGCAAGGAGGGCTTGTGAGCACCACCCCCGAGTGACTGACGTGCATTTCTAGCAAATTCCCAATAATGTCGATGCTGCCCATCCGGGGACACACATTTCATATTCCAGCACAAGTCAGGCATTTAACAAATGATGGTTCTTCAACTTCCTAATGAGAGGTCAGAGGTAAGTGCTGTGGGACAGCAGCAACCAGGAGTTATTCCACCCTGAACTTCTGAGTTGATGTATTTGTTGTACTTTCCCTCACTCTGTTTCCTGACACTGTTAATGCATTTTAGCAGTTTTCACAAAACAGCTGTCTCTGAAAGACAACGAAAATTTAATAATAAGTAAAGTGATATTTTGGAAGACGCTGGTGTATCCTACATATCTGTGATCGCCTTACCTCTTACAAAATCGACAAGGGTTACACTATTGGGGTTATGTAAATTGATTCCTGGTTTTCTTTCAAACCTTTTGGAAAACACAGTTAAAAAAAAAACCTTTCAGTAATTTACCAAGATTTATACAGAAACTCTTTTAGCAGAAACAAACAGCTAAGCTGAACGAAAGAACTCTTTTAGACTCAGGTAATCACCTTTGATCCTGAGTTAGAAAAATGTTAGAATCTGTACAGTAGAGTTTAGGATGGCTGCTTGCTGCACATTACTTTTTAAATTTCCATCTTTAGCTTGAAGCCTGAACGCAAGTGAGTTTTTTAAAAAAAAGTGAATTATTTAAAACCTACATGTGTGGCTGATTTTCCCAACTCGTCCTCTCCAACACGCACATAGCAAAAATAGTCAACTTGCATTTAGTGAAAGTGAATAGAGTAATGCATGTATATCGATCTACTGACAGTTGAAATTGATCAGGTGTTTTCTTGCAGTTATGCTTCATGCTCAGAAAGCTTTGGCTACTTTAAAACAAATTTCTGTAACATCCCTCTGAGGTAAACAAGGCACAGGTGTAATTATCCCTCCACAGTAGATGGACAGGGACAAAGAAATGCGCTGACTTAACCAACAAGGAAATCAAGCAAAAGGCTCCAAATAATTCTAAGACGATTTTCCTTTGATGAAAATAGGAAGAAACCTCTGAAAGCAATGTTTTTTTATTCTTTGTGATGTGAGAAACGCACGTCCTTACAGATAGCTAGACAAGCAAGATGAAGCGGCTGGTCAGTACGAGCCGCAGCAGTCCAAGGCTATGGAAACCAAACTGAGTTTTCCTGGATGATGTGGTCAAGGCCCTTCAATGCCAAATTCCAACAATCAGCATCTGATCCACCAGTGTCACACCTGTTGACATAAAGCAGGCAAAGAAGCAACATTTACTAAACTAACAGATGTATTACACGGTGCAAACCTCTAAAAGTGCTCAGCATCTGGGAAGCACCAAGCAACCGGGAATTTTTCTTAAAGACAGTAGTTTTCAGTACAACAAGCTCATACAGCAGCGGCCTATGACAGGGTCGTAAAGCAGAAAGCCTGGAGATGTCCGACTCCAGCTCCCAGAGGCCCCTCCACATTCCAGCTTGTAGGTCCAGGCAGCAGAAGTCCTGCCCTGGCTCATCCCGTTATTCCTACCCCTCAGGTCCAGCTTGAACATGGAGTTTCCCAGCCCCTCCATTGCAGTGGTCCTGAGACTTCAGGGGATATGAGGAGTAACTGGAAACTGCAGTGAATGTTTGAATTTGTTTAAACTTTATTACCGTGAAAGACACATTGCCATGAATTCCTTCAAAATCCTCCCCCTCACCTTGAATACACTCATCCCATCATTCCTGCCACTTTCTGCACCAGCTCCAGGGTCTTCTTTTGAGAGTGTCTTTAGTTGGGCTGTCCTGGCTACCTTGATGTCCTGAATCCACTCAAAACACTTCTCTTGTGGGGTCCTTCTGACTTGGGAAAGAGGCAAAAGTCCCACACTGCCTGCTCCAGTGAATAGAGTGGACGAGGACATACGGTCATGTTTCATGAGACTGCTTTTTCATTGGATGGTGCTCGGCAGTAGTATTCACTGTAGTGTGATCACACCTTGTAAAGACACTCATGAAAGAGGACCTCAGAAGAGCTTCAGAAAGTGCCAAGAACAAGGGGATAAGCGTGCTGAAGCAAGGGGGAGGATTTTGAGGAGGATTAGTGGCAGTGTGTCCTTTTCTGTAATGCATTTTTACTTAAATATTCCCCATATACTGTACTCACACCTTGTACACCCCGACTAAGCTCAGAGGTGTGAAGGTTTGGGGTTTTCCTGTTCTGTGAGCACCAATCTTCACTAGGTAGAGGACATTTTTGAAGTATGTAATTCAAGAATTGAAATGAAAACCAATTCTCAAGAGAAGCAGAGATCACAGGATGAGTAAGCTGCTGTTCTAAAAGGTATTTGCCTTAAAATGTAAAAAACAAGAATGAAGGAAGGGCCTTATCTCCACAGTGTTCCTTGTAGTGTTTTATGGTTAAGAAAGTAACATGCTACATATGTAGCCACATATGGAGACTGCACACACAGACCCGTAGGTATGTAGAGAGTTACTGTTCTGACCAAATAAAATAGACCACTCAAACACCTTGGGAGGTATATTTAATTCTTTCCATTACATGGAAATAATACAGGACAGTAAGGAAATCCTCAGTACGACTGTAGTTGCTACTATTTTACATAGCCTCAGGAAGTTGGGAGATATTTGGTGTTGTTACTTTAGTTCAGAATCTTTTGACTTCAATATTGGCCTGTCAATCCATCTTACCAGTTTTCATAATGCAATGGCTTTATTTATTTATTGTAGTACTGGAGATTGAACCTATGGCCTTACACATGCTAGGTAAGGACTCTACCGCTGAGATGTCCCAGCCTCCACCCTTTTTTTTTTAAAAAGACTCTCACTAAGTTGCCCAGGCTGGGCTCAGACTTACTATCCTCCTGCCTCAGCCTCCTGAGTATGGGATTACATGCATGTGCCCCCATGCAAGCCCATGGCTTCTATTTTGTATTACCAGCATTTACGCAGATATGTAGGTTCAACATCAGGGAGTTCAACCAACTATAAATGTAAAATATTTTTTTCAAATTTCATCTACACTAAAAAATCACATATGAACATTTTCTTCTCCTTGTTCACTAACACAATAGAACAACTACCTATATAACATTTACATTGCATTCAATATTTCAAGTAACCCAAAGGTAATTTAAATACATGGGAGAATGTGTGCAAATTCTACCCCATTTTATGCAAGACTTGAGCATCCTCAGATTTTGAGATCTGCGAGGTTCCTTGAACCAATTCCATCCAAGTTACTGAGAATGAATCTGTTCATGAGAGAGCAAACCAGCACTCACGGAGCTCCTTTCTACCCAGAAACTTCCAATTTATGTCCCTAGCCCTCCTCTGTCCATCCTCACCATGTGTGTTGGTGGTTTGTCTCAAACTCATCAGGTCAGATGAATGCCTACGGGTAAACAAGCAATACCAGCCCTTCAGGGTCACTGATGAAGGGAGTCAAATCTCCAGAGAGAAGCTGAGGAAATCTGTGTAACCGACGAGTAGCGCAGGCCATTCTTACTGGTGAGTTCGGATAATACTACTGCACTCTGGCTTCTAAGTCAACTTCCAGGTTCATAGTTTCTTTTTAATAGTTCATTATTTTATTTACAATAAATGCCTATGTAAGGTGTATTTACTTCAAGTACTTTTATCCATGAGGTAGAATACAGATTCATGACTTTAAAGATAATAGACATTAAATCACCTTTGGATGTATTTTATACAATTTCTTTTTCTGCTTGCTTTCTCGAAAGAAGATGACTGTACCGGAAATGTGAACCATCCCTTCCGGCCGGAACCTCTAGAACAGGAGGGCTCAGCCTTCAGAACATGCCCATCCCCCACCCCAACCTCATTCCCCCACCCCACCCCACCCCACCCCACCCCAGTGCGTGAGCACGCATGCGCCAGGTGGTGAACTGGGAGATGAGCTGGGGTGGATGGGAGGGCATGGCTGCAGAGAAGCACCCAGAACAAGGGCCCAGAATGAAAGCAGATTGCATCCCAGGCACCAGGAAGCCATTACATGCACTGGAATAGGGCTGAGTGCAGAGCTCAGCGGTAGAACATGGGCTTCGGATGCACAAAGCCCTGGGTTCAATCCTGGGCATCACCGACAAAGTGCTGGGGTTAAGAAAGAGGCCAAGACTGTGCTGGTGTGGTGCAGTCACTGCTAGGTATTTGGGATGACCCACATAATATAGTTTAGCATTGGTAGCTATGACTCCCCTTATTAATCTGATAAACACTGTCATCAGTTTCTTACATTCCTGCCTTTAAAACACCCAAAGCAGATGTATCTTCAGAGCCACCTAAGGCAGAATTGACTTTCAACCATGAGAAGGAACTCACCCATAGAAGGGTATATTCCCCTAGCAAAGGAGGAGCAAAGTACACAGCTATCACCCAGATGGACTAGAATGCGCCTCTACCTTTCCTCATGGAACTCAGCTTCAGTCTGCTTGCTGCTGCCGGGAGGAAGCTACCTCAGTCTTGCCGCTGGAAAACAGCTCAGGGTCCTGCAGCATCAAGTGAATGAGTGTTCATTCAGCTTCACAGTTCTTCTCTTCATCTGTTCCCTTTTCCTGAGGATGACCCAGTTGCCCCAGGAAGCCTTAACTATCCTGCAGCAGGGAGGAGAGCAGCCTTCGCCTGGTCCCCTCTGGGTCACACGCATGCAGTTACTGAGGTGCGGTTATTACAAGTGCGAGTTAATATCCATCGCTGCTTTCCATGGTCACTGCCATTGCTTCCAGCCTTGAGGTGCACACACTCTGTCCTCTCCTGGGGCCATGGTCATCTTGGCATTTTGCTGCCACTCTCAACCCCCTCAGGGGCTTGGTACCATTCGGCCATGTCCCCTACACCATCCTGGAATGTGCAGGACCCGATAATGCCTTCTGGGCAGGATGACCTGGGTCTTTCCAGCTCAGGTGACCTTTGGACTGGGTGCTATTCCACACCTGAGCTTTTGCCAAGTAAGTCTGGGTATTAAAATTACCTCTCTTTATTTTGTCCCAGCAGGAAACAGGGTGGACCAGGGACTTTTCAGCACCTACCAACAACTGTATCCTACTCCTACCTCCTCTGGGTCTCCTCTTCCTGTCTGGAGGACGGACCACCGTGTAGAGAAGAAGCCTCAGTTCAATTAAGGGCGAGAACCACAGAAAGAAAGGCACACTTGGGATAGCCCTGGCCCAGGACGTAGTTGTCCCCAGGAGGAAAGAGCTGCGTCTGACGCACTGCTGAGTTTCAGAGCAAAGCTCCCATCTGGAGGTGAGGGGCGCAAATTGTGAAAAGCAACCCACAGCTTGTGCTGCTACGCAAACCTCAGTTGCACAGGGGCTGCGAGTGGCTCAGTGGGAGAGCACTTGTGAGTGAGAGACCCTGGGTTCCACCCCTTTCAACACCACCAAAAAAATTAATACACAAAGTTGCATTCACAACTGCCGTCAGTGTCGAAGTCCACTACCATTACAAAACTGTGACAGTGGCTGTGAAGGGAAATAACGGATGTTCTGGGTGAATGTAGCAAGAGACTAACAGATTAGTAAATAGGGCAGGATTGGAACACCACATGCCCCTTGACCTGCTCAGTGTCACAGAGCAAGCCCTCGCCTCTGGAATCCACCCAAACGGCCTCTCTCCCTGGACTTCAGCTGTTCTCATTGGTGTCCAAAATAGTCCCTAAAAATTCAGGGAAACCTCACAATATTCACGAACGCTTTCTTTAGTGTTTAAGGCCTCCTTCCAACAACATAAAAGCAGCCAAGTCCAGACCTGAGGGAAAGCTAATGTTCAAAAATCTGCTTTCTTCAACAAGTAAGTTACAAGGAGAAAGAGAGCAGGAAGCAACAGAGAGATTAAAATGAAATAATCACTATGTGTGGGACTGGAGCCTGATTTTTTTTTTAAATAAAAAAAGGAAAATTGAACATTGACAGCTTATTTGATAATATTTAAAGATTTAAATTATAATTTTAGGTATGATAATTGGCCTTATGGCTGTGCTTTTTGTTTTTATCTTTTATAGAACTATGCTCCAAATATGTGAAGATAAAATGATTTAATGATTTAACTGTTTCTATGACTTTTTTCCAGTGTTTGTGGAAATTAATAAAAACAATTTAATATATTTTCATAATTTCACAATCTCTGATCATAACCCTGCTTGGCTTACATGTGACATGGACTTAATTTTATTGTCACTTATTGGTAAGTGTTTTGTCTGTAATTTGCTTCAGTACGAAAAGGGAAGGCTAAAGGGAGGGCCTGGGTAGGACTGGTCTTAGGTTGACAGATACCCAAGCTGTGGATTTCTAGGGACGCATTGTACCATTCTGTCTCCTTGTGTGTTTATTTCAAATTCTCCGCAATTCAAAGTAAAAAAAGAGTCAAAAATAAAATGCAGTCTGCCATACAAGCCTCCCTTCATAGCTGACTCTGTGTGACTAGACAAGTACTGCTAGGCACACTGTGGCCGTGGGAAACTCTGGCAGTTTCTTTATACCAAGGCATTAATGTACATTCATACATACGTTTACTCCCTGTCACCAATCAAGCGCCATCACTCAGAGCGGGCTCCGAGGTTCCAGGATGCTGCTTCTGCCGACGTTTGCGCAGCTTCAGGCACGCAGCTCACGTTGCTCAATTTTGACTCTGCACAGTGACACTGTCTGCTCCTAGGGTGGCGGTACGAGGGTAATGACAGGACATTTCATTGCGAAGCATAGTGGAAAGACAGTGGGCACGAGAGCCGCTTCTGACTGGACACCTGTTACCGGTCATGTCTCTGCTGTTGGGTGGTCGCGGGAAGCTGGACGAGTCACTTCATCAGGCCAGTCGTTGTCCTCACCTGTCAGCGACGCCGTGAGGCCACAGCACTCCAACATTCCGTTAAAGTGTACTGAAGGGCATTTGAAAGGTTTATCACATAAAATATATATTTTGTTGTTCATAAATGAAAACATGTATAGTATAGAGAGAGCACTTAAGCAGTGTAAATTATCTTCTTCCCTTACTTGCTTTTGTAGAAAATGATTCTTAGCCTTTTAAAATGATAACGAATATTTAATTAATATTCACAAGTGACAATAAAAATTAAATTTATGTTGCATATAAGCCAATTAGGGCTATGACCAGAGATTGTGAAATTATATGAAAATATATCAATTAAATTGTTTTTATTAATCTCCATAAACACTAGAAAAAAGTCAAAGAAATATTAAGATAAAATTGTCGCATGATAGGATAAAACTGACACTGTGATGTTGCAACACAGCAATATCAATAATAACAGTAGTTAATTTTTATTTCATTCTTGCTGTAATATGGCAATCACTGGTTTATGTAGTTTCCATGTATTTAACTTCTTTAATTTTTATAACAACCCTAAAAGTAGTAATTATCATTTTCCCATGTCTAAGATGAGCACCTTGCCAAGCAAATGATCATTACCATTATTACAACTGGAGAAAAATATAAGCATCTTTAATATGTTTACTAATGCAGATATTCCTTGTTCAATCACCTACCCAGTTAACAGCTGTTTGCACTTACAACCCAATGCTCTGACTTCGTGCCCGGTCACTTGTTTTTGTACAGTTCTTTACATCTTGTAGAGAGAGCCTCAGTGTCTTTCTTTGTACAACAGACCTTGTTTATACAGTGCTGTAATTTTTGCTGATTGTACAGCAGTACTTTGATGTTCTATTACATATTACAGTACTGCATGTAAGTCATGCAAATAAAAGCAAAGTCATCAAGTTGGAGTTTCCTTTGACCATGTCTTTGTTCTGAATCTTATAACGTACATACTATGTACAATTCATTTAACTACCTAGTCACAGGAAGAGAATTTGGTCATTAAATGAAGAGTGTCTGTATAAGATGAAAAGTAATAATAAAAAATGTTGAAGCTTTGGAAGATCTCATTGTAGGAAGGGACAAGATGTGTCTAAATGAATAATGGACCAGGCGGTGGTCATCCACAGGGGCCAAGACCAGCATGTAGAGTGCCAGGGAAAGAGGACGTAAAAAGAATTGAGATGTGCTGTGTTCACGTACCAAGTGCGCACAGGGAACGTGAACATTATGGACTGCAAATATGCACAAAGAAAAAATCATTATAGAACAAATGTTCCAGTTTCACCAACAGATAAATTCCCAGAGGAAAACAAGACAGTGGAGAGAACTTAATTTTTAAAGTAGTCAGGAAGTATGTCAAAAATGTATGAAGCAGACCTTGTTTGTATACTTTTAAGTTTCTTAATTGTCGAGTGTATTGGTTTTGGGGGTACGTTTGCGTAGAGTCATTATTTTTGTGTTTTGCTTTGCACGGTACTGGGAATTGAACCAAGGGCCTTGAATACGCAAAACACATGCTCTCCCACCGAGCTATACCGTCAGCTCTTGGTTTCTTAACCACTCTTTGAAGACAAGTGGCACCCGCAAAGCTGTATGTGTTTGATGTCTACAACTTCATAAGCCTGGAGGTACGTATACACTTCTAAAACCATCCCTTCGGCCTATGCCGTGCACATATCCACAACCACCAAAGGATTCTCCCACTGTATTTATCTACAGAATAAGAACACTTAGGTCTTGTTTGGGTCTTGATTTAAATAAACTGATTGCTCAAGAAATGGGAGAAAATTTGAATATTAACTGGGCTATTTGGTGACATTCAGAAGTTGTTATTTTTTAAATGCAACACAGAGTTTAAATGGTACACGGAATTTTTTTTTTCTTTTTGCCTTTTCTATTGGTTAGTTTATATTTGGTTTGAAAAAGATAGGGTAGAAGGGAAAACTGGCCCTGAATCCATCGCTCTTGAAACCGGGCAAGGTGTGCATGGAACTTCGTTACAATGCCCTCTATTTTCATGTAAGTGATGGTTTTCCCATACGTTAAAAAAAAAAAAAAAAAAAAAAAAAAAAGCAGGAAAAGAAAACGAAACAAGATGTACGATGAAAATTAGTCGATAGGACAGAAAACGGTGCCCTGAAATTGAAGATAGTGCAGCTCAATCTATCCGCAGTGTGAAGCTCTGCATCCTTTCCAGTGTTTTTATTACTTGTTACTGTCTTTGATTGTTTGATTCATCCTACATTCTTACGTCTGGTGGATTGAGCAACTTCTTCGAAGATAACAGTATGTAATGCAGCAACCATTGTTAATTCCTATCGTTTTGTTTCGAGGGCATGTACCCTTATTGTTGTTTTTGTGTTGTTTTGATTTTGTCTTCATTGTTGTTGTTTTGTTAGTTTTTTTTTTTTTAATCTTTAAAATAAAATTAAAAAATTTAAAAAAGCCAAGACAGAATGCCTGGAAATTTGTTGCTTCACATTTCTGCCTGTTCCATTTAGAAACTGAGAGCTGTTCAAAGGCGCGCCCAAGCGCTGCTGCTCTCCCACAAAGCATTCCCGGCGGCGCGCTCGGGGTCTTCCCGGCGGCTGTGCGCGCGGGGGTCGGCTGACCGCTGACCGCCGACCGCCGACCGCTGGCCAGGGACCGGCTCGGGTGCGCTGGGAAGCCGGGCCACCTGGCCGCGCGGAGCCTGGAGCTGCAGCCGCTCAGCCGGGCTCCTTTCCCAGCGCCAGGTGGAGCCCTGAGCCCAGATCTCTCTCCAGTCCTGTCCCCGGTGGCGGGGGCAGCATGGCCTGCTCCACTCCGCCAGCGCCAGGCGAGCCGGGAGTGCGGGTCGGGACCGAAAGCCTCCCTCGGCCCGCGCCTCGGGCCGCAGAGCGCCGGCTCCCCGCCAGGCCAGGCCGGGCCACGTCCCCGCAGCGACCCGGTGACCCCCGGGGCGGCCCCTGGGCCCGCGGCCTCTCTCGCAGGGCGCTGCAAGTGTGGCATTGTAGGGCGCATCCATCCTTATTCGGTCCCTTTCTCTTGCTGGGACAAAAATACCTGCCATACTCAACTCAGAGGAGGAAAGCTTTATTTTGACTCGTGGTTTCAGACTTTTCAGTCCAAAGCAGAAATAACATGGTAGAGGAAAGTCGTTCCCCCTGGGCACCAAGCAAGCAGAGAGGGAAAGAGCCCGACAGCAAGGAGGGCACGGTTAACCCCGGCACTTAGGAGGCTGAGGCAAGAGGATCACGAGTTCGAGATCAGCCTGGCCAACAGGGTGAGACCTTGTTTCGAACAAAACAGAAAGAGAACAAGAACCCTAAGAAGCATCTTAAAGCACAATTCTGCAGGGCTTGAGAACAGAGAAAAAAAATCTGCAACCAAATATTTGTTCAGATAGAAGATCGATGTATAATCCTCTCTCACTCCCAAAAGTGTACGTTCTGTTATTTGGGGATATTACCTCTGAGTTTATCTTCCCTGTAAAATGAGGAGATGGGGCAAAACTGACCTGGAAGTTCTCCCCACCTGTAAGCCTCTGGTTATGAAGTCAGGAAGGAAACTGTGTAACAATTTCAAGGAAGCATTCAGTAGGAAAGGGCAAAGGAGACCTGTCCGGGGTACGCTGGAACGTGAGTTA